GTTATCTGACGAGGCGTCGCCGAGGAGCCTTCGCTTGCTGCCTTCGCCGTATTGTTTAACCTCGTTATCGGACGAGGCGTCGCCGAGGAGCCTTCGCTTGCTGCCTTCGCCGTATTGCTTAACCTCGTTATCCGACGAGGCGTCGCCGAGGAGCCTTCGCTTGCTGCCTTCGCCGTATTGCTTAACCTCGTTATCCGACGAGGCGTCGCCGAGGAGCCTTCGCCTGGTGCCTTCGCCGTATTGTTTAACCTCGTTATCCGATGATGCGTCGTTGAGGAGCTTTCGCCTGTTGCCCTCGCCGTATTGTTTAACCTCGTTATCCGACGAGGCGTCGTTGAGAAGCCTTCGCCGGTTGCGTTCACCGTATTGTTTAACCTCGTTCTCCGACGAGATGTCGTTGAACGACATGCTCAGCAGCCGGCGCCGGACGAAGTCGGCCTCCTTAGTCAGGTTGGAGACGCCGAAGAACATCGAGGCCGACGAGCCGTCGCCGAACGACATGACCTGGGACGTGTTCGCTTTTCCGGTGATGTTGGATGTGCTCACGTTTCCGCTGAGGTTGGGCGTACTCACGTCTTGGAGGTGGCGGTCTCCGTCGTGGGACATCTCATCGATCTGGTCCATCGTCTCCGACAGGTGGCGGCCTCCGTCGTGGGACATCTCATCGATCTGGTCCATCGTCTCCGACAGGTGGCGGTCTCCCTCGTGAGACATCTCATCGATCTCGTCCATCGTCTCCGACAGGTGGCGGTCTCCGTCGTGGGACATCTCATCGATCTCGTCCATCGTCTCCGACAGGTGGCGGTCTCCGCTGTGGGACATCTCATCGATCTGGTCCATCGTCTCCGACAGGTGGCGGTCTCCGTCGTGTGACATCTCAGTGATCTCGTCCATCGTCTCTGACAGGAGGCGCCGGCTCGCGTCTCCCACATCTGCGATCTCGTCCAGCCTGCCATTGATAGCTAGAAGCCGGCGCCTGCTTTCCACGTCGTGCGCGTCACCCATGTACCACCCGAGAAGTCGGCGGCTCCCTCCGCCGGTGGAATCACTCTTGGCGTCCTGTGCTTGATGCAGGAACTGGCCGACGCGGGTGATGATAGCCAGGGCGTTGCTGCTGAGCTCTGTGGAGTTCCTCAGCAGCCTGTCCATGGCATGCTTGAGCTCCGGCTTGTCGAAGCCATCGGCGCAGGTGTAGATATAGGTCATGACGCCGGAGATCCAGACCCTGAGGTCATTGACCTGGACGACGACCTGGTCCGCCCTGAGGCCGGCCATGTCTTTGAGGTCCACGATGGCGTCGTCGAGCAGCTTCTTGCACTCGCCGATGGCGCTCAAGGTGATCTTGTCGGCGGCGCCCCTGCCGACGTCGGTGTATTTGGCGAAGGCGTCGCCGATCTCGTTCATGGCCACCTGGAGCGCGGCCCGGAGGACCTCCTCCGGGTTGGAGGACTCGTTGACGACGGGGGTGAGGCTGTTCTCGCACTTGGCCGGGTACAGCGTGGAGGAGCAGAGCTGGGAGAGCTTGATGCTGGTGGACATGTTGCCACCATCGTCGCTGGCCTTCCTGGACGTGGTGACCGCGGCGATCGTGCCGATGACGGCGACGACGCCCACGGCGGCGATGATGCTGGCGGTGGCGGCCTTGTTGGTCATTGTGCGCGAGCCTTACTAACTGCTGGTTTCGATGCCGGAGCCGGCCGGGGCTCCTCGCCGCACGGGAAGCGTGGTGAGCTTGGCCCTGAGGAAGAAGAGAATGCCGCGGCGAGAGTTCGTTTATGTAATTGCAGCTTGTGGACAAGAGCAACGGCTATTCTTGGAATGCCCTGGTTTGGCCTGGGGCTCAGCGGCGCTTTGAATATTTCATCTCATCCTCATCTCCTGGTTGAAAACGCTTTGACCTACATATAACATGTACGTGAATTTGCATGCATCCATCGATCTCCCGGCATGCATGCCTCGCTCGCACGCTCTTCTTTGCTCTGCATGGCACTAGGTAAGCAATGTTCTACCGTTGTTTTTTGATCCGATGGACAGACATCAAGCATGTGGAGCACAGATCGACTGACCACACATTAGCTTAAGTCGATTTTCTCAACCAGCCAAAGCCAGCCCTTTGCACACAAACGAACAGAAGGCCACACCAATTCTTGGGCTGATACAACGTAAACCAGATAAACCCAAGAACAAAAGGGACTGACTACAAAAAGTGTTCAAGTCCTGGACTTGATTTTGATGCTCGTATTTTTCTGAATTTATTTCAGGCCTTCCAAGTCCTAGTACACATTCTCGTCGACCACAAAGACGTTTATGGTGACTTCGTCAATCTCTAGATGATGTGCCGGCTCAATCTCTCAGAGGTGCTCATTGGGATAGGGTGTGTGTGCATGTGTGCTTTTATTGGGACGAGTGTATATGCATATGTATGAGCGTCTGCGTCTGCATTGTCTTCAAAAAGAGTGTTCAACAAGTGATTAACTATTGTGTCAGTCACTTTTTTAGCCGTGCAGTAACATTTTTAGCCATCTTTTAAAGGACAATGCATAATTATAATAAATCTAGTAATGCATTAGATTTATTATTGCCTGATATTCTAATTGTGTCAGCCACCTTTTCAGCCGTATTCAACAAGTGGTTTACTCATTGATTTAAGAAAAGTTGGATGAAAAATAAACAATTCAATTGATTTTGGGTTGAAGGCCAAAATAGAAGAAGAAACAAGCCGAGCTAAAAAAGTCTACAATAGTCTGGTCCAACAATATAGCTACGTTAACCCGCATTGAAGCCCAAGCCTAAAGAAAAATATTCCACATTGGCGAATGCCATTATATTGATACACGCCACATGTTTGCATAATAATAGAAATCTAATACTTGTGCAGGTGTCACCTTAAAGAATAAGTGAGCACAAATAAAGATAAAGAAAACCAAACACATGAAGTTTCAAAGGAAGAGTGAATTAGTAGAATTAGTATTACTTTTAAATAACAAAGAAAATGAAAAGGTAAAGAAATAATAACAAAAATCACACACAATTTACACAGATTTTTTTTAATAACGTGAAAGAATAAGCATATAGTAGAGTATTTTTTGCAAAAAGGAGTTTTCAAAGAAGGAATGTATTGGTCGCATTGATATTATCCTTAAAGAAGAAAGAAAATCAGAAACTAAAACATAATCAAAATAATTAAGTTTTCTAAGGTCAAATGAACTAGTGGCATTCGTATTACCCTTTAACAAGAAAGAAAAGCAAAAAAAATGATAAATTTTGCATACAATATTAGAAACTGCAAAAAAGAACAAGCATATAATAGTGAAATTTTCACAAAAAGGTAGTAGATTTGATATTATCTTTAATGAAAAAAGTAAAATAAAATTAAAACTAAACAAAATAAAAATAATGAAATTTCTAAGGAAGATAGAATTAGTGGCATTGGTATTATCCTTAAAAAAATAAAAAACCACAAACAAATACTGACAAAATTCTCACAATAATTGTATTTTTATAATATGCAAGAATAAATACATAATAAAGATTTTTTCAAAGAACATTTTCTAAGAAGGAATGAATTACTAAAACTAGTATTACGCTTAAAGGAGAAAGAAAATAGAAACTAAAACTAAATAAAATCAAAATAATGTACTTTTCTAATATAGAATGAATTAGTGACATTAATATTACCCGTTAAGAATAAATTAATTAATGAAATAAATAAATTATAATGACAAAATTGCACGTACTATACACAAAAATTTGCGCTTTTTCTAATATGCCAGATAAGCATATAAGAGTGAAATTTTCACAAAAGGGAGTTTTCTAAGAAGGAATGAATTAGTGGATTTGGTATTTAGCGTTAAAGAAGGAAAAAAATTAAAAAGCTAAAACACATTCAAAATAATGAAGTTTTCTCAGGTAGAACAAATTAGTGGCATTCGTATTACATCAGACAGCAACACGATTTGCATCTACACGTCCGTGTTTTACACTCGGTGTTTCAACCAAAAAAATGGCAAACTATTAAACAAAGCACCTATACCATTTTTCCGCTTTAGCTAAACTATCCAATCAAGATCCAAAGGCCCATCTGCCTTCTTCTCCCCCTATACTAAGATTTAAATTAAAACTAAAGCAATATTAAATGAAGTTTTTTGAGAAAGAATAAACTAGTGGAATGGTATTACCCTTAAATAAGAAAGGAAATAAAAAAATAAACAAAAAATGATGAAAACATGCACCCAATTTGTATAGAAATTGCACTTTCTTATAATAAGCAACAATAAGAATATAATAGTACATTTCGCACATTAGTGTAGTTTACACACATATAATATAGTACTTGCGTGTACACTTACACAAACCCAACATCCACATATCACATAAAGTAAAAGAAAATGACTCAAAAAAATAGAACCAAATAGAAGCAAACACACATGAGAAAAGAAGAAAAATAATGACCAAACCTAAAAAAAAAATTAGGCTGTTGTTCAGTAGCAATAGAACAGAAAAATAAACATCTGGGAATAATCATCTGTCGACACATTGAAGTTGAATTACTCACACGTGCATAGACATAAACACACAAAAGAAAAAAAACATGTACAAACACTTATGCAAAGAAAGTACTTCGCAAACACACAAAAAAAGGGGCGCCAAAAGGACAGAACAAAAACAAAATTTGATTGGACAGTTTTTTCGTTAAGAAATTTAAAATATGAAAATGAATGCTGAAGATTAAATCTTCTATCGACAAATAAAAAAAGGGATGTGTCTTACTTATATAATAGTGCCACCTTCGACGTATCCCTCACGTATACACTTACACACACTTGCGCACCAACACGCTCCAGCAAACACACATGCATGGACATGGGTGATCAAGGGCACACAACACAAACGCAACACACACATAGAACCAATGAATTGGATCAATTAGCTTTTGGGACATTGGCTGCTTAAGGCCCAAAAGTATGGGGCAGAGAACAACAAGCTAGAGGCAGGAAAAAAATTGACTGAACATAATTTTTGGCCAGTCGATTTGTACAAATAGAAAATGGGCAGATTAGAAACGAAGAAAAATAAGTGGCTTACCCAAAATAAAAATTCAGGTGACTTACATATACCAAAAGTGTTGTTTTATTGAGCAGGGCATTTTGGAGACCGAGCTCCGTTCAGGCCTTAATTTTATTCAAACTTTTAGTTTGAAAAATTCTGAAAAAAATACACATATATACATGGATGTAATGTGCAGGTGTGTAAAATTTCAGGATGAGATACCTTGAATTGCGAGCTGCACACAAAACAAAATCATGAACTTTAAAAATGAACAGGACATATGCAAAAACGCCCCCGATTTGTTTTTTTTTGTAGCTCTCATTTCAACGTATTTCGACCTAAAAAAATTACGCACATGTACATTCCGGCTCTAGGTATATGTGTATTTTTTCACAATTTTCTGAAATTGAAAAGCTTGATTTTGAACTTTTCAACTTAAGACCTTCATGGAGCTCGGTCTTTGTTTGGCATTTACACATTTTCATTATTCTTCTTTTGAGAAGAATGATGTTAACTTCAAGCTATAATTCATTATATTATCTTAAAAGGGCTTTCAGTCAGCTTTATAGATAAAGTCATCACCGAAACAACCGACAACATAAGTTAACACGATAGAACACTCGCACAACAATACATAACAGAAAAAACAAGAAGGTACAGCTGGGGGAACCGGCGATAGAGGCAGCCCCACACTGTAGCGCGCACACATAGTGAGAGGAGGCGGCCCCGCACCATAGCGCGCGCACACACACAACTAGAGGAGGCAGCCCCTCTCCTCTAATCAGGCTCGGCCCGGTGGTGCACCAAGCGACAACGGTAGGTCAAGCGCCAAAGAGCGAAGGACTGCAGATAACTCATCGACGGCGTCGTGATCCGGTCGTTTGCTAAGCAGATCCCATAGCAGCAGGAAACCACACACTTTATATATAGCATCAGAGGAGCGTCTAGGGATGATTTTCTCAATTACAAGCTTATTATGAATCGTCCAAAGAGTCTACACCCACTGTGACGCCCGGATAATTAAGCTACAGTAACCCTTCGCTAATGATGCCACGTCACCATGATTATTGTGGCTAATCTCGCGTTAGTTCGAAACCTGTTCGAATTCAAATTCAAAATCAAGCAAACAATAAAATATTTTCAAATATTAAAACTAAAATGTTGGGGTGTTGCCAAATAATGCATAGGTAATTATTGTGGAGAAACCACAATTTTATAAAAGGTTTAAGTGCACTAAAATGTTTAAAACAGCAGCAAAACATTTAACTAACTACCCTTTTCAATCTGATAAAATATTAAACTATTTGTTTTATGCCAAAAACTTATGGGGCAGTGGCATACTTATTAAAACTAAAATAGGAACCAGTGGTGTAGTTTATAAAAACAAATTCAAAAGGAAACTAAAATAAAAATAGTAAAAAAAGAAAATTATGAAAAGATAAAAAGAAAGCAAACAAAAATTAAAAAAAGAAAGAACCAGCAGCCCCGGCCCAACTAGGCCATGTCCTAGCCAGGCCGGCCCACCCCGGCGCCCTACTAGGCCACCCCGACCCCCCTGGTCAAACCCTAACCCCATCCCACTCCCCACTCGCCCCCACGTCTCT